CAGTATCCCTGTGCTCCTTACCTGGGACTCCCTCTGCTTCCCGCTTAATGACCCACGTATCTTAGGGTACAAAACTGGAACTTTACACAATGCTTAGCGACAGCAATCTCAGTCCCAACTGCAGTCGTAACTCAAGAACTACCTGTACGGGCTCTTACCTGTGCTCACTCTTCATTTTATGCCAGCAACACTCTAGCCATCTCTTAGTTCACTTCATTCCCCTCACCTCTTCTGAAACCCATGGGCCCCCCTGGTCAGGAAGTCAGGGGAGGCTATTCAGGTACAATTTAATCTAAGGCCATTGCTGCCTACCTATTCCAGCAGGTAGTTAAGGCCTCAATGCAACTGCCCTATAACTTGAGAAATTCCCCAAGTGTCCTCTGAAAACTAAGCAGCTCCATTACACACCTGGGTAAACCATCCAAACAGGCTCCCCATAGAGTTTTGTGGCACCACACAACTCCATAGTAGTCAGGGAGTGATCTGGCCATGAGAAAGGACAGACATTAATTAACATTAACAGTCCATCTCCTCTCCTCTGGCTTTGTGGTTGGCACAAAACCCAAAATCTAGATGGGTATATCTGTGAGACGGGGAGAGCCTTCACTGTAAAACCCATCCAAGTATCAGTAATACAAACCCAGTCTACTCTCTTATCCATAAGATCATGAATGAGAGAAGCTTTATTACAGACAGACATAGATTCAACAGTGCTGTTGCAAACACCAATAATTCATTCTACCCATACTAACTACTATATAAGATGCAGGTTTTCTTTAAGTTTTGGGATGTTCTCCCAAGAGGAAGTTTTGCTGGTTCCTTATCTAGTATTCCAAGTGCAGCCAAGCCATTTGTTTCACTGCAGTAAACTTCTGGTTTTCATATTTTTTACTATATTTAACTCTATCATTAGATATAATAAACTGATTTATTTGTGTTACACATTTTGAATAAAACATATAGAAAAGCAGAATATAAATACAATGCAAGGACAGAAATCTTTTTAAGGCTCAGTGAACACCTTTTAAAACAATTTAGCTTCCAAAAGCAACAGGTACATTGATCCTGCTGACACAAATTGAAGTTTTCATGGTTCCCTTAAAAAGAAGTTGAGACATAGAGTTGTTGTTTTTGATTAAAATAGGTGCATTAAATCCTATTAGACATTTAATATGTTGCTTATTTCTTTGTTTTTTTTAAGCAAAAATGTGCTTTCATATTTCAGCAGCACAATGTCAGCATCATTTGGAAGCCACATACAGTAAAATGGGTAGGGGCTGCCAGAAGCCCATAGATTATCTATTCCTGATATAGGGAAAGAAATGGAACCTGTAAAAAAACTTTGCAGTGTGACCTGCTCTTGCTCCCTGTTTTAGTCGGTCAATGGCTCCTTTCTTCCAACCCAGTTTTCTACTGCAGCTTGCCCAATAGCCAGGATTCTGGGGTCATTCTGTATTATTCTGCGTTATCACTACTTTTTTCCCTTATGATTTATTGTACTTTGCAAATCTTGAGGATTACTAATATCTCCCTCATCATTGGGGAGATAAAGAGCACAAGTTTTACCTGGGGGAAGCATTTCAGTCAGTGAAACCTGAAGTGACAGAGAAGGGGCCACAGCACAAGCTTCTCTCCCAAAAGGAGAGTTTGTTTGTTGTATATTCTGGACAGTGAGTGAAACAACTCTTTTTGTAAAAGTCAGCTGAAGATACAGAATGCTCCTCACCTCTGGTCTATAAAGTGAAGAAATACACAGCAACAGCTAGTTTTAGAAGAAGGTCACAAAAAAACTAGTTAGACTAGATTTCAGAAGGAAGCAAAACTTTTGAAACATATGATTACAAATACTCAGGCTATTACTGACTAAATCAACATCTACTCTTTTGGCCTAGGGGAACAGGAAAAGAAATAACTTGATCCAGAAATATCAACATACAGAACTTCCAACAACTTACAGAAAGCAAGCAGATTTGTATACATGTAATTTTAGGAGGAAAAAGAAGCAAAGGCAGGACAGATGCTTGTTCTAAACATGCACATAATCCAAATTGCTAATGTGTGTATGGTGAACTAAAGCAACCTTAACCTTCAGATCATCATCATCGTCACTGTCATCTTTACATACAAAGACCAATAATACTTAAACATATACATAAAAATATACCAATATCTGAATGTAAACACAGCCAGATATATCTGAATAACAAAATAACTATAGTTTTAAATAAAGAATAGAAATGGAAATTGAGCAAAATCTGGCTATTCTCCTCAAAAATAGAGATTTATTAGCTAAAAGGACAATATTCTCCTCTTCCAACTATAATGACCATTGAATAGAAGGGGTGGTATTAGATCTCTCCACTTAGTCAAATAAAAAGGGCAGTGCAAGGGTACATGTGAAATGCTGTCTATTTTCCCATCAGCACAGGAGTGTTACATTCAATTAGTAATTGTAAAATAAATCTCACCCCTACACCAAAAAGGTTGTGTAAGATCTAAACAAGGTCAAGGCCCCCCAATAATTTTTAATGTCTCTTTCCCATTTAAGCAAACAAGATATGCTCTTCTCTTCAAATGGAAAATTTGAATCCAGTTATTTCAATTAATGGCTATGCAGGAAGAGGAAACAATTTGGAGTTGCTCAGTGAAACTGACTAGATGTATATCCAAATTGGGGGGGGGGGGGGAGGGGAGATAATGTGTGCACTGCAGAACTGGTTTATAGTCATCTGCTTTAGATGACTATAGCAGCAGAGAAGACAAATGCCTATGGGATAAATCTCTCACATATGAGTATCAGCACCAAGAACAATAATAGCAGAAAACTGAAAATCATTAGTCTCTAAGGAACAGGGTTAAGAATAGGATTCATTTTGGTATGATCCAGCAAGGCTTCTTTTATATTCTCACGTTGAAATTGCCTTGACATAAATGTGGGGATAGATTCAATTACCCAAATTATATATTTACGTTTGAGTTTTCTGAATACAGTGCTACTTCGGGATACGAACTTAATCTGTTCCGTGACTCTGGGCGTATCCCGAGTTGGTCGTAACCTGAAGGAAATTTCCCCA